GGCTTCCCCTGGGCCACAGAATAGACAAGAGGGTTGTGGCAGATAAGGGGCCTTGGCTCTATACAGTCAAACCTTTGACCTCCAAGTCATTGCCTTACTCCTGAGGACAAGTACACCCTAGTCAGAGTCCTGGTCCTCCCAACAGAACTGCTGTAGAGAGAAGGAAGCCCGAAAGTAGATTCTGTCAATAGATATTTATAGAGCAACTCTTTGTATCACCTTGCATTGGGACAAGTTTTTACAGAGTACTCAGATAGTTCCCCTATTGGTCCTTCATGGTAGCAACCATGCCAATGTAGGCGGGGAATATTATCAACATTTTACAGGTGAAGAAGGCAGATCTCAGAGACGTTGACTTACCAAGGATAAATGACAAGGAACCTTGGCAAAATGAGGACTTAAGGACTTTCTACCTTTCCAGAAAGTTCTCTATTGGTTGATAGGCTAAAATATCACCGCCAACCGAAGTATAAATGTGAACATATATAATTCTGAATTTACTAGTGGTAAAAAGGAGCAAGTGAGATTAATTGCAATAAGGTTTCACCTAAAAGTTAAAATATCATCCATTTACCATGCAATACATAAGATATTAATAAGATTTCATTGCATTCTTCAGATTTTTGGTGTATATTTCACACCTAAGGCTTATGTTAATTTGGATGCGAAATTTTCATTAGAAATGCTTGACATGTTTAGATTTTGTATTGATTACAATAGAAACGTAGACTACATACTCAAAGTGGCCCAATCATATGTGAAAGTTTCTGATAACTGAACTGAAGTTCAGGTTTAAATTAGTGAAGAATAAAGATTTACATTGTATTTACTTAGTCCCTCTAATGGAATAGCCACAGGTAGCAGGTGGCGGTGTCATCTGAGCCATCGCCCTTCTTCCCAGGAACTTGCAGACTGGCAAAGCCAGGGTTTCCTTAGGCTCACGCTCTTGACAATATGTGCGGCTTTGGTCTTCCCCATTCTTATCTGTTATCCTTGCTCATCTCCTTCAGAGGCCTCACCCTCATCTAATTCAAGTCTGCTCTCTCTTCCTGGTCCCCATAGCTCCCTGCCTGTCCTCACTTGTGACCTCACGGGGGGAGGCAGTGCCCCTGATAACCGGCTTCAGACCTTAGGCCAGGAACAGAGAATGAGCTGGGAGAAAGAGTGGATGCTCGACAGGACACCATAGCTATGGGTTTGCGTGTGACAGTATGCACACCCTTTTCCTCCCAGGACGACTTTGACTTACAAGTGACTGGGCCGTCAGAAAGCTTGGTTGCCCCTGTTCTTAAATGCAAGCTTATATTAAAGTTTTATACATGGAATCTAAAAATATTGAACTTGCAGAAGCAGAGAGCAGAATGTTAGTTACCCGAGCCTGGGGGTCAGGTGCTGGTCCAAAGACATAAATATCAGACAGGAGGAATCAGCTCAAGGAATCTATTGTGTATTATGGTGACCGTGGTTCATAACGAGGCATTGTATCCTTGAAAATTGCTAAGAGAGTAGATTTTAAGTTTTCTTACCACAAAAAAATACAAGAATGTGAGAGAATGCATATGTTCATTGGCCTGAAAATCTACAATGTACACTCATTTCAAAACATTGTGTTACACTTGATAAAAACATAGTATTGTGTCGATTAAATAAGCAGTATTTTTTAAAGGCACATTTGTCTTGATAGAGCCTGGCTCTCTAATTTATGGTTGGATTTTTATTGTAACTAGAAATGGAAATCTGTTTCTCTGGGTGTGTGGTGGTGGTGGTGGGCGGGGGGGAGTATAAGCTAGTGGACTGGATGGTTTTTAGGAATAGCTGAGCAGCCATTCAAGCCGCCCGGGCATATGTTTGCCTACTTCCTTCGTAGACCTGACGTGTGTCTTTGAGGATGAGCTTGTACTATGACCTACCTAGGACTCCGAGGGTCTATGTGGCATTTTGCAAATATGGATGAAGCCCCCATGTGGTTCGTGGCCCATCTCCCAGACACAGGCACAGCGCTTCCTTGGCGCTCACTGCTCTCCTCTTTGTTCTCCGTGGGGGTTGGAGGCGAGTGAGGCAGTGAGGAGGCAGGTCCAGGCTGGTCTATGAAACCTGAGCCGGAGTGAATTTGACTATTAAACTCACCTTCTTAAGATCCCAGACTTAAGCTCGTTGGTGTTGCTGCAGTGAACACACACCACCCAGCAGACAAGCCGGAGCCCGCCTGGCTCCCTCAGATATTTTATAATTGAAGTTAGATGTGCGTCACAGCTCTCAACGCTGACAGCTTCCTTAAGCGCACTGACGTCTATAACTTTTACAAACAAGTAAAACAACTGGGGATGAAGTAGCCTTCCCCACCAGCAGCAGGAGAAGTCTTGCTAAATAAACAGGCCATGATCAGATAAGCTGGAGAGATACCATAGGGGTTCCTGCCCTGTCGGTGGCTGATGAGACACAGAAGTGCTCGAAAGCCAGGGAAAGGCCTGTTTGACAGTAGAATTAATCGGACATAACTTTCCTAGCCTTGTATTGGAATACACGACCAGGGTAAATCCGCATCATGTACAACCACAACAGTGGGATCCTAAATAAAATGAGTTATACTCTATGTATGTATAATTTGCCAAAATACATTCTACTGTCTTGTATAACTAAAAAGAATAAGTAATTTTTTAATTAAAAGCCTGTTTGGCTTAGTTTCCCCCGAGTTAACTGAACCTAATTGATCTGGGATCCCCCCACCCACCCTTTTTCAGGAAACACTTGAGAACCACTTAAGAATTATCACTCTCTAAACTAACTTGGACACAGTCATGCATCACTTAATGATGGAATGCATTCTAAGTGTGTCATTAGGTGACTTCATCACTGTGCAAACGTCATAGAATGTCCTTAATGACCTGGAAGGGGCAGGTCATCACTGGATGTGGTCTTGTGATACAATCAAGAGATGTGTGAAGTATGAGGTGTTGGAGGATTCTGGTGGCATAACACAGCATGCTGTTTAACAATAAATATTTTTATAAGTTGAAGGAGTACACTTTAAAATAATGATTATAGCATATTCAATCCATAAAACAGTAACATCGTCATTTATTATCATTATCAAGTATTAATGACTGTACATAATTATATGTGCTATGCTTTTACAGCTCGTATGCAGTAGGTTCACATCATCATCACCCCAACACATGAGAAATGTCTTAAGCAGGATTTTTTAAAAATTTAATTTGTTATATGCGACAGCAGAATGCATTACAATTCAGAATACACATATAGAGCACAGCTTTTCATATCTCTGGTTGTACACAAAGTAGAGTCACATCCCTCGTGTCTTCATACATGTACTTAGGGTAATGATGACCATCGCATTCCACTGTCTTTCCCACCCCCTGCCCCTTCCCTTTCTCTCCCTCCCCTTTGCCCTTTCTAGAGTTCATCTAATCCTCCCGTGCTCCACCCGCCCCCAACCTCATTATGAATCAGCATCCTTAAATCAGAGAAAACATTCGGCATTTGGTTTTTTGGGATTGGCTAACTTGACTTAGCATTATATTCTCTGATTCCATCCATTTACCTGCAAATGCCATGATTTTATCCTCTTTTATTGCTGAGTAATATTCCATTGTGTATATATACCACAGTTTCTTTATCCATCCATCAACTGAAGGGTATCTAGGTTGGCTCCACAGTTTAGCTATTGTGAGTTGTGCTGCTATAAACATTGATGTGGCTGTGTCCCTGTAGTATGCCGTTTTTAAGTCCTTTGGGTATTGTCCGAGGAGTGGGATAGTTGGGTCAAATGGTGGTTCCATTCCCAGTTTTCCAAGGATTCTCCACACTGTTAAGCAGGATTTTTTAGCTCCACTATAATATCATTGGACCACTGTATGTGTGGTCTGTTGACTGGAATGTCATTACGACTATCATCAACTTCCAATCTTCACTCAGCTCTCGTTACCTACACATTAATGTGGTATACATAACCTGCCTTATGTATTTGCTCCGATATCAAGACCAAGCAAATATATAAGGTAGTTTATGTCATATCCACTTATTGAAGTCCATCAACTTTACTTGTCTTGGTAATGCTTGTCTTGGTAATCTTAAATTTTTAATGTTTAATAATTTTTATGATCCTTGAAAAAAGTAAGAAAAGCAAAATGCGCTGACTTTAGAAATCCAAACTAATTACATTTTCTGTTCTAGACATGGTTTAACTCCAGCATCCCATACAAGAGAGCATTTTTAGATTGTGACTCGGTTAAAAATGAAACTGAACTCAACTAAAATGAACTTTTATTCATGCATTCGGTCTTCATTAAATTGGTCGATAAACATTTCTTGAGGTTCTAATAGAATCCAGGAGCTAAGGGACTTGGGATACAGAAAAGGAAAATTCTAAGAATAGTCCTTATCCTAGGAGTACCTACAACACGAGTGAAGATGAATATTGAACAGGTACTAGCAGGAGAGGAAGCAGGGAGAGAGCAGAGAATAAATATCAGGTGGCTCCTACCTACATCCATCTGGAAGTTGGAATCTCTGTACAAACCGGGAAGAGCATAAGGAATTAGGAGCCCGTGTTCCATCCAAAATGACAATATCTTCATTACGTAGGAGAGGCACTTCCCAAATAATTGTTTATAGCATCCCCAACAATAAAACCCATGGCCTAAATGTGAAATTAATTGAGAGCCACAGTTCTAATACACTGTTTTGGCGATTAAGCACATTAGATTGAATTGTTTCAGAAGGCCTAATTATTGTGTCTGCCACACTCGTCTGTTTGAGTCATTCCTAACTTTTGGACTGCTGCCTAGATCATTCTGCAATACAGTTTCAGTTGCGTGTTCTTCTTTTTTTAATGCACAACTTTCCTCACTCTACTCAAACCTCCAAGCTCTAACCTGCACTTTTACAATTTCTAGAAAAGAGCTAAATAATTTGTTCAAGGGTCAATGCCATTGAGTTTGGGTATGAGTTGATTTGGTTTTTTTTATTATGTTTTGCAGGTTCATGATTTAAAAGTGCCTGTGGGAAGTTCCTTTTGCTGAAAACTGCGGCCTGGGAGAGCTTTTCATTTCTTGACGCTGACGTTATGAGTGGATGAAGATACCTCCGTTGTCTGACTTTGCCAATTGTTTAATTTCAGAGTTTACAAAGGAAGAAGGAAAGGGCGTCCAGCTAAATTATGAACACCTAAGAGGCTTCTTTTCCAGCATCATCTACAGCTGTGAGTGTCAGAACTAACTATTTTCCCAAGGAGTGCCATGATATTGAAGTCACTTTATTAAAAAGCTGTTGTATCTGCAAAACCATCAAGAGACTGGGACGACGAGAGCCAGAGATGACACTGAGAGTGGTTTTATTGCGGCCCACAGTGTTCAGGTGGGGCATTTTGATTGATGAGTGACTCCTGCTGATAAGTCCTCTCGTCACCATTTCCTGAATCGGACTTCATTAAGCAATTTATCACTTACCTTCAGACTTACATGTGGGAGTTTTCACAACAGTAGTTTTGGAATCATTGGGACTTGGATTGATTTCACCACTTAACAGACACTAACGGAGCCCACAGTACTCTCTCACCATGGCTTTGAACGTTGCTCCTGTCAGAGATACAAAGTGGCTGACGTTAGAGGTGTGCAGACAGTTCCAGAGAGGAACCTGCTCCCGCTCCGATGAAGAATGCAAATTCGCTCACCCCCCAAAAAGCTGCCAGGTTGAAAATGGAAGAGTAATTGCCTGCTTTGACTCCCTCAAGGTAAGAGAATGTGTTTCACTTGTTGTTTCAAAGCCACATTGGGCTTCCAAAACAGAGTGCTTTATCTTGCACTTTTACAGAAAGTGAACAATCACTTTTGGATTCTGTTTTCTTGACTGTGGTGACTTTGGGAAGATTTCACTCAAATTTGTTCATATCAGACACATATAAATTTTTTACACATCTATGTTTAAATTAAAAATACATGATGGTGTTATTTCTGGTCTGGCATGACATTCATGTACCCAAGAGTTTTAAATCAAAGTCAGGCTTGTGACAACTGAAGATAAATATTTTATTAACGTTTGATCTTCTGGAGGTTATGTAAAGGTGAAGAAATTGAATGTGTCACTTTCATGTGCCAGTTACTCTGACTTACATCTGGAAGAATTTTCTATTCTTGGGGTTCTCTTTCTTGACCAAGGGCTTCCTAAAATGCTTCTCGACCTGGCTTTTACTCTCTTTCAAAACAGTTTATGGCTAATAGAAATTAAATACGCACTTAATGCTTGGGAATCCGCCATCTGTCTGTGAGTTACATAACAAAAGCAATGAATGGTATGCAGGTGACACCCATGATGAGCTCATGTCTGGTAGGGAAGTACATCAGCAAATAACTGCTGTGTAAGAAGAAAGGCACGTGCCTCACAGGAGGAGCAGAGGACTCTCCTCTGGGAGTCCACAGAGGACAGCTGGCTTCCCACATTTCAAGAGATGATTTTGGAGGTTGGTGCACCTGAGTTATGTACTGTAAGATCTAGTTGAAAGAAGTGGTATGATTTTGCCCAGAAAGCATCGAGGTTTATTTAGCCTTAAAATTAGGGTACTTTGAATTCCAGATCATCTCAGCCTGTCCTAAGGGCATAATGATGTTGTTCTAAATAGAACCAAGTATGATAAACAGCTTAAAAACAGCTTAATATTTCCATCTCTGCAAGTCCTCAATAAGCTTACCTATCAGTTAACAAAAATTTATTTATGCTCTTGATATATGACTTGAGAACCTCTGTGCTGTGAGTTTATACAACAGTGACCTTGGCTTCTCTTTGGTTATTGAAGGGACTGGGCATGCATTTGGAGGATTTCATCTCATGTCAAAAATTATGTCTTAAAAGACTTATAAATCAAAATGTGTAACTCTAACTCTTAGAAATGTAAGACTTCCAAGATATATTTATGTATCTTCTAAAGGGAAACTTTGTCTATACTAAAAGCAGAAAAATACATCGATAGCTTGACAGAAATCTTTTAAAGGTAAAAATTTGACAAATTAGACATATTATCTACATCATGAGCTGAAACTATTCTCTTTTTATCATAAAAGCTTATTAGACTAGACTAAAATGAAAGCGAGTAGATGGAGTAATCATAATTCATATAAACTGTGTCAGTGTAAGCTCACTGTACATTAGTATTTATTTTGCCTTTAGTCAAAGAAGTAAAGGCAGTTTGATTTGCCTCCATGATTGTCAACAATGGGAACATTCACCACAAAAGCAATGTAGATTTAAGCTGAATCACAAAAGTTTCAAGATACGGAAACAGGTCAGAGAGGAGAAATGAATTTTCCAAGTCATTCATAATTCTTTCATTGTATTAATTGAAACCTTCTCTGTCTGGATATTGAATATTAACTATCATGATTTTTTTAGTATCTTAAAGCTCTTTATTGTTTAAATCTAGTAGGGAATGTTGGGAAAATATTCCTGACCCATTAATACCACATATTTCTTGAATATCAACTGGGTAAAACGTTCCAACAAAGGTCTCGATCTGCATAATTCTTTACATTTCTGTGGATTCACCAGCTGCACACTTGTTGGAGGAGTCCAATCCCTGGAGCAAGGAATGTGAACAGACATGTTCAGCATAAAAAGTGTGAATCAAACCATGAGCATATTGAACCCTATTCACATAAAATTTATTTTGGCAAGTGTCCAGTAGGCCCATGCTCAAGAGTGGAAGGAGGCCTGGTTGTACATTGCCTCAAGTTCTTGGTCACTTTTAGAACTATAGAATTTCAACTTACTTCATTTGAATGGGATATTACAGATTTTTAAAGTTGTCAAATTGAAAAAAAAAAAAAAAGTAAAAAGAGCCTACAGGAAGAGGAGTAAGTCAGACCTGAGTCTATAAACACCTGCTGGGCCTTGGGTGGTTTCACAAAGAGGAGAATATGCACCAGCAAAAATATCTGAAGCGTGTGTTGTCGCTAGCATCACTGTCATATTCACTCTGCAAGTTTGTTTATATGATCAGAAGCCCTGGCAACCAGACCAACAAGTTAGAAGAACCAAAATTAGTAGCCAAAAAGAAAAATAATGATGATGATAACTGTGAAGCTATTTAACTTCATTACAGGTTGAACATCCCTAATCCATCCATCTGCAATCCAAAATGCTCCAAAATCTGAAACTTTTTGATCACCAACATGAATGCCCCATGTGGAAACTTCCAAACGTGACCTCATTATGCGTAGCACTTGAAATTCAAATGTATATTTATTTAAATATTCTCTAACATTATCTTCAGGCCATGTGTATGGGTGTTTAAAAAGCATAAATGAATTTTGTGTTTAGGCTTGGGTCCCATCTCTAAGGTACCTCATTGTGTATATGCAAACATACCATACTTGGACAACTCCAAATCTGAAACACCCCTAGTCCTGAGCATTTTGGGTAAGGGATATTCAATCTGTGTATTAAAATAGATAGTGTTGCTCAGGGGATCCAGACTAGGTCAGAATGGGTCCAACAGACCTTGATGAATCCTGGCTGGTACAGGCCAGCTCTATAATTTGAGATAAGTTGTTCTATCTCCTTAATTTCTGTTTCCTCTTATGTAAAACTGATAGAATTCTCACTTCACAAGGTTACCTCAAGGACTACCTGGCCCACCACATCCCATGTTTTAACCCAGGGCTGAACGTGTTAGGGATGGCCATGTTGAGTCCCTCCCTTGTTAATGTATCCCAGTTCAGCCACTGATTGCAATGACTGGCTTTAAATGAAGGTGTGTCCACCTCTTCATATGTTCAAACTTAGAATCAACTGTATGGGTGGTAGCCCCCAGTCCTATGAGTAATTCACAACATTAGAAGAACTGGGATGTGAGGCAAGTGCCATTTTTGTTGTTATTTGTTACAATATATTTTCTATGAATGCCATGAGGGATTAATTGGTATTTGTGACTGGGAGAGAATCTGTTGGCCTGTAAATATAGGGATGACTCAATTGTGAGCCTTTTGCCTTGTTGTTATTGGTTATTTGTATCTATGAATAAAATTCCCAGGAGTACATGCTGAAACAGATTTTGGTTGTTGGAAAAATTTTGTTGAGGTCTTTGGTAAGGGAATTGTGCATCTAAAAATGTTTTTATAAAAGAACATTTAGAAACATAGAAGAGTTCTTACAGTGGTATTTGTACATTACTCATAACTTGACAAAATGCACATTGTTTCATGAGCAAGAAACTCTCTTGTAGCCAAGGCCTCCACCAAGTGAAAACCCATCTCAGATGCCTCTACCGTCCATAAAACATTTCCCCTCATAGTTGAAATATTTGATATTTTTTTTTCTTTCCCGATTCATTTTCTTGTAACCAATAGGAATTAATCTGGACTATTTTGCAAACAGAAACATCTGGAAAGAAACACATGAATTAACTTCAATGCCTATTGAGATTAAAGGTTTCATTACTTACCACTTTCATTTTGAATGTATTGCTTTAAACATTCAAATTCAAACTCAGCTTAAGAAAATGAAGCCATTTTAAAAATCAGATTGCTAATTTTGGTTGAAAATACTTGGTGCATTTGGGGGAAATTATTTAGACACTATTTAGAAATGTAGACATAACATTTCTTAATAAAAATCAGCTCAGAGAAAGACAGTGTGATTCTCTTAACACCTCAGTCAGGATGACGTCGCGTCTCTGTCCGAGGATCTTTCCGGTGGCTTTTTGTCTCGCACGGAGACCAGCAGGACAAGGTTGGCTTGGCCCTTGGCACAGAGCTGCTTCCTCCCCCAGCCACCTGACTTTATTTTTACTGCTGCCCTCATCTGGTCCCTTCCAGGCCCCCAGGTCCTTGCTGTCCCTCAATATGCCCAGAGGCTTCCCCTCTGGGTATTTGTACTTGGTCTTGGCTCTGCTTGGAATATTCTTGCCTCAGTTAAATGAACAGCTTGTCCTCTCATTTCCTTCAGGCCTCTAATGAAACAAACAAACAAACAAACAAACAAAAAAACACCCACACATTAGTGAAGCTTTTCTGCCATTCTTTATTCAAAAAGTGATATAAGCTGCACCTGGTCCCTGGTCAACAGAATTGTGCCTGTTGGGATCCAGAGCCAAGGTCAGTGTCATACACATAATAGGTGCTTAATAAATAGTGGTCGAATGGTAGAGCATGTTCATCAGACAAGTATCCATGCCTCATTCAGGGCTGCAGTTCCTGATTTCGGGGGGGGGGGGGTTGCACTTCAGGGGTGCCCTTCTTATCACAGTATTCTATGTGATCAACACCCCTGGAGCTGTATGGTACATAACTCATGCAATAAGGTGCTATGGCCCTGTTGTTGGTATCCCAGTAGATTTCAAAACCAGGGAGCTCAGTGCAGGAATTTGAAGGCACAGGTGTGACTCTCAGAGTGTAGTGCAACATTGAAAAATTGACAAGTAAATCATTCGATTTTCTCTGCAGGGTAGGTAATTTGAGCTGCATGTGATGGAGAAACTGCTTTTTCCTACTCTGTTTCTAAATTTCCAAGATGAAAAATAGAAGTTTTTGCTCATTTATGTATGGGAAGATGGCTATAAGCTCATGGCAAATAAAATTTAGTCAGTATTTGTGGATGACAATTTCAAAATTGAAAGTGATATACATGAGATATTTTGTGGCAATCACTTGCAGAATTGCTTGAATATTTTCTAAATTACACATCTGATGTGCAAATGTAATCTCAGACAAATTTTTCATTATTGATAGTAATCACTGCAGT